TGAATAATATAAGTATAACAAAAAGATCACAAAAAAAAAGCTTTTTTATACTTTGTATTTGTAATTTTTAGTATTTTTTCATTAATCATAATAATAAAAAATAGCATTTTTTAAAGATTTTCAACCACATTTATCTTATGATTTCTAGTGATACTTGGAAGAAATTTATGCAAAACACTACGCCCTATCCGAATGTGGTCATTTTAAAACAAACTTGGTTTATTAATTTAATTTTAATTTTGAGAACAATTTCTGAAGTGGAAATTGAAACGTCAAAATAAACGTATTTTCAACAGAAATTATGCTTAATTCCCATTAAAATTAGTAAATATTGTTAAAATACCACAAGAAAATGGTTTCAGAATCAGTCTATTTGTATTAAAAACAGCGAAACACATGATCGACTTAAAGTTTAATTCCACTCTACATAAAGGCCCTGTTAACTTTGACAGCTACCTACCTCTTTTCCATGCATTGATTTAAAGATTAACTAGCAGTCAAAAGTTCATTTACGGTTTTCGTATATACTAATTCTTAAGATAATAATATCCTGTGAGAGTTTAAGTTAGTTCTTCTATTAAGTGCGCCCCCCTTCGAATGAAGACGCTCTGGGTATTCTTAAAACCAATAACCATAAGACAACAGAAACACCTGCGGTGAAACAAAAACTCACACCTGATAGTAGGTATAAAATGAACATCCATGAAAATGGCGAATAAGGGTCGCTTCGTGGGGATCACCAGGTAACGTCTGGACCCGGCGGGGGACGTGAAACATTCGGGACGTCAGTGGCAAGGTGCTGAGTAGGCAAGCATCTGCAATACAATGAGCTAAGAACAAAAGCTTCACTCACTGAAGTAGCTGAGCTGGAACATGAACCGGTGCTCACCCAAGCGAGGCGAGCGTAGCAGCACATAAAATAGACTACGTCCGTGAACGATAATTTGCAGTTCTTTCGCATTTGATTGTACGTGACAAAGATTCAAGTATCTGAACCGTAAACAACAGATCAATAACGGGTAATTATTAAGAAACGAAGAATAGCGAAGTCTAACAAGAATGGCACACATATCAAGATTCACAACCTAGAGGCAGTTGTGTATCAAATTCCAAGAATTCCACTCAACATGACAATACATAGTATGACAACAATGGCAGACACGATAGCATGTTAAGCGAAATGGCACGTCCGTACAACAAATCCACTAACAGTTTTAGTGGGTCGTACAATCCCGTTTGTTATTTATTTTCATCCCGACCGTCTCAATAGAAAAGTCAAATTTCCTGCGTATGTATGATCTGGGGCAGCATGTCGTCTAAATGGTGTGAAAAAGTTGCATTTTATCGATGGGATTGTAAATACGGACAAATATTTGGGGATTTTAAAAGAATCTGTTTTACCGATTATGGAACAAACATTGGCAGAAGATTTTGCCTTCCAACAGGACAGCGCAGGTTGCCTGCCATACCTTAAAAAAATGAGTTTAAAATGGATTGACTATCACGGAGTACCATTTCTGGAATGGGTGTCCCGACTTGTCCCCGATAGAAACTTTGTAGCGCAATAAAAAAGCATTGAGGAAACATCCTGCTAGATACGTCAACGAATTGAACCAAAAATTGCAAGAAACGCAACAAGAAATTTTGTCAGAACCTGGTAAAAACTATGCATCAAAGAATTTTGGGATGCAATGAAACATAAAGTATGTGAGTGTCACGCAGTGGAAAATTTTCACATTTTCTTTGTTAATATCACATATTCTATGCGTTTTTTAAATTAGTTGTTATTCAGTTTAATTAATCGTTTCCATTAATTTCCAAAATATCTTCTACAATAGTGGAAATCCAAAAATGTTATTTGATGTATTAAAACTTCTAAAATTTACGCTGGACTTACGTTGGGAAGGAACTTTAGAAAATCTTTACATCAACTAGGCAAATACCATGAGAAGTGGCTCATAAAAACTCTTCAGAGAAAAAAACGAATACACCTCACAAAGTAAGCGCAGTAGAAATAATGAGATTACCGCAGTATTTAGGAGGAAGAGCACATGTATCTAGGTGAACCATTACAAAACCAATTACTAATCTAAGAACTTATTTTCAGATGCAGGGTGTGACATCTACTTTGCATCGCACGATTTACGTGGTAGATGACATAGCTTAAGCCGAGATAATAAGAAATGCGCATAAACCACCCTTATAACGAAGATATGCATACCTTAATGGTTAGACCTTAATCTTAGTCAAACCAATGGCGCATAATAGATCAGATCTCATACTAGTTAATAAAGTAGCTAGACAAACAACACTAATTGATGTGGCGATAACTAACAGCAATAATTTGCGTGTTAAATATAATCGACTATAAGCCCATGGGACATTTTTATGGTGTTTTTGACCCAACATGAATCAGATATAAATCAATACTATAATATCTATAAGATCACAACTTTAGCAACTATGCCGCCACTTCTTATCCGTACTCAAAGCATGGTAGAGTTGCACCTTAGATTTTTCACTTCTGTTCCAGCTGGAAAATACGGCTAGAAAATATAAAAAAGCTGAGTCTGGTTTTTCCACTAGAAGGAATGAAAGCCATATGTCGTAAAACATAATAATAATATTATCGCATAAATAGTTAACACATAGGAAAACGGTAGTTTATTTATTGACTAAGTAGCGTCAAAGTTAAAAAAGCACATTTTATAGTGCAATTATTAAATGTTAATTCATTAAATAATTACTTATTACGATTACTTAAAACCTTTAGATTGGTACACTTTCCAAACTTAAATTCATATCAAATAATCATTTTACAAAATTAATTAACCAAATTAAAAATGCTGAAAATGCTTTTTATGAAAAATTAAATTTATGGGTAACAAAATATGGAAGAGAGGCTATCTATCAATAGAAAGCAGATTGCGACCATAGTTACAAAACAAAGAACAGTAAAGGAGTTAATGTCTTACTGTTTTCCCCTTCTGTAAAATTTTGTTAAGCATTTTGTATGAGATCGAATTATTAAAGATAAATATTAGCAGCAATAGGAGTTTCATATATGCTCACAATGGGATTAATATCTCGAAACGATACAGTTGTACTGCATTATTTAAATAGTAAATTCAAATATTTGACTATTAACATTGGTCAATATATTTTTGTGAAATGAAGATTTTTTTGGCATTTCCAATGTTTCTGCAGTCTAAAATCAAAATTAAAAACAAAATGTGTTTATCACCCACCATTCATGAGTAACGATTAAAACGATAAATAAAACGTCGAATGCGCTTTGCAGTACCAATAATATGGAGAAGCGCGGAGTATCCCTATTTATATATATATATATATATATATAATATATATATATATATATATATATATATATAAGGTTCTTGAACTCCTAAGTGGAGCATAGAGCTTCAGTGAAAACGCGTTTCTTATCTCGTCCATGATGGATCTTCTCCAAGTTTGTACTGGGCGACCTTTTTTCGTTTTCCTTGGGGATTCCACTCTAGGGCAGTCTTTGCAATACTGGAGTTATTTTTTCGGAGTGTGTGACCGATCCAACCCCACTTTCTGGACTTTATTTCATTTACTACCCTCTTTTGTTTGGTCAGGTGTAGTAAATCTTCTATCCCTATTTACCCCTCAGCTATTCAGTCTCGCCGAACATAACAGACATCTTTCTATCCCAAAACCACCAAAAACTTTAAGTGTAGACGAAGAACAACTTGAAAGTTTCAAGGTTCCATCTGGTGATATACAATTAGAAGAGGAAATAGACAATAATCCACTATTTCAAGACCAGAATGTTCCTCAAAACCTCATCTAATTTCACAGGCTGAATTTAATGATCTGGTCACTGAATTACTTACTGCGTACAGAGAAATAGGATGTAACATGACTCTATATAAAGTCCTAGTCTGCTGGCAAATTACTGCTGGACATTAATCTGTGATGCTCCAGCCCAGAAGTATCGCAGTAAAACATCTGCCACGATATTTAAAGGTAAGCGTACCGCGAAGAACATACTAAGGTTGATATTATATTCCCCTACAATGCACAAATCTTCGTAACTAATGAAGTGTGGGTGACAAAAAAATTCAGGTTTATTTTCGGCTTTCTGATATTGTATACAATGAACACCATGTTCTACTATCCATGTTACAAAAGTGATTTTTGTTGAACAGGGGTATCTGCAAATACTATGGATTTTAAATTCGACAATAACCTACAAAATTTACCAATATAAAAGACTTACATTGAAATTTAGAGATGTGGGAATTACATTGGTGTTTTTATTGACTATTTTTTGAGAAGAAAAGATTATCTGGAAGAAAATGCTGTATTTCTCAAACAATTATTGAAAAAATAATAACTGTTATAGAATAACCAAAAGATTTATCGCGAATGCTGATTTTTATATTGATAGACATTTGATGACATCTCCTTTATTTCTTACCAACAAAGTTATTTTCATCAATATCAATATAGAGCTTTTAAAGTAACACTATTTTAAAGGCATGCATATGCCCAAAATGAGATAATTTAATTAAATGGTGTATTACAGATTCATTTTAGTAAACATTAACTCAAGAATATTTATGACAAATAAATATCGCATCATCTAATGAAGTTGAAAGTTTAGATCCATTCTTAAGGTCGATTCAGACACATCAGTCCCGTCATAGTCTCGGCGCCGAACCGGTCCTGTTTGGTCACAGAACTATCAACTATCTGACAGCTGGGAAACTGTTTGTCAACTGATGAGTGTGAATGCCGGCAACATATTTGTATTAAAGAATATTTTGTATGACGGATTGTTCGGTTCGGCGCAATCACTGTGACGAGACGTGACTGATGTGTCTGAATCGACCTTAAAGGATTTAAACAAATGTTTTTAATGTTTTATACTCTCTCAATATTTGTTGCGTGTAACAAGTAGTATGTTTTAATTCGCCGACAATTAGAAAATAAAGAAAACTAAGTTATACTTGAGTTACTTCATCGTCTTGTTGTAAAATCCATTGAGCAGCTTTGGTAACATCCCACGAGGTGTGTTCCAAACCGTTGAAACATATGGGTAGATCGGCACTGACAACATTTTGCAATTTTAGTATTTTAATCGCTTTCATAACATCCCAATCTGATTGGTCTAGAGCTTGTAGACATTTTTCGGTTGTTACCTGGCAACAATAACAAATTAAAAAGGATTAGAAGGTACATAGTCATATGAAATATGCCGCAATTGTAGCTATATATTTTTGTATTTTTTTGTAATTTAAACATGTTATATTGCATACGTTTAGTATAAAAAATATTGAAATAAATATATTAACTAAACTATAAAGTAAACTTTATATATCATCAGGATTTACCCTTCTCCCAAAAGTAGCCATTCTAATTTTTTACGACAATTTGTCCAGCATGTAAGTAGTCTTCCTTTATTTCTTTTGTCAAATTAACAGTTTTCATTCAGTTTTTAATTAAATTCCTGATAGTGATTCCGAAATTTATCAGTTCGCTAGAACAGTTATTTTAATTGGGAATTATAAATTACATTGTATGTACATTATCGATGGTAAATACAGTGCACAGGTGACAGCTTGGATTCTGCAGTGATCTGTAGCTAAGATCTAGATTGGATACACTCAATGCTATTTTATTGTACCTGTCTTTTATTCCTTAGTCAACGATTTTTCAAATTTTATTGTAATTCACTCAGCCGCTACATATTATTAATTATTTATGACTTTCACAATATTATAGTCAGTTTATTAATTCGATATAAGGTTGAATGCTCGAATAAATGAACTTTGATGATATACAAGGCAAATATCCTCAGGGGCATCTGAAATAAGCCAAAAAACGTTTTTTTTAGAAAAAGAAAATTAATTCACTTCGATAAAAAACTCGAAGTTTATGGTTGATAAAAGTTTTTTTATGTGATTAACGTTTATAGACTTACTTCGTCAGTTGCGGCCTATCCGACAAGAGTAGAATGTCAAATATAAAATGGGACATAACAATACACTACACAAAGACAAACAAATACTTTAAAAATTTTTTTGAATAGGCGAGGCTACATGGTATATAGAAACCGGAGACAGAATGGCTCACGGTCTAGCGGAAATGTTGAGATGACATGTGACAAATGACAGCTTGGAAAGGGCAGTTACAATTATAGATATGTGATCTGCACCTTTCAAAATTCTATGAAACTAAGTATTGACCAACGGTCCAACTGACACCACTATAGGAAATCAACTGATGAAATATAAGTAATATAAATTCTATATAATTTTATATTTCATCAGTTGATTTCCTATAGTGGTGTCAGTTGGACCTTTGGTCAATACTTAGTTTCATAGAATTTTGAAAGGTGCAGATCACATATCCATAATTGTAACTACCCTTTCCAAGCTGTCATTTGTCACATGTCATCTCAACATTTCCGCTAGACCGTGAGCCATTCTGTCTCCGGCTTCTATATACCATGTAGCTTCGCCTATCTTCAAAAAAATTTTAAAGTGTTTGTTTGTCTTTGTGTAGTGTATTGTTATGTCCCATTTTATATTTATGATATTCTACTCTTGTCGGATAGGCCGCAACTGACGAAGTAAGTCTATAAACGTTAATCACATACATATAAAACTTTTATCAACCATAAACTTCGAGTTTTTTATCGAAGTGAATTAATTTCCTTTTTCTAAAAAAACGTTTCTTGGCTTATTTCAGATGCCCCTGAGGATGATCTAGTGATCGAAAGTACTTGGGCAAGATTTAATTAATACTGTGTTCGATATTTGCCTTGTATATCATCAAAGTTAGTTTATTAATTATTTCACGAAGTCTCATTCAAGTAATGGCGAGTCAACATCGCTGAGTGACCGTATCATAAAATTCATTAAACAAAGGTGTCTTTTGTTATTTTTTTGGAAAAATTTAATTATATTCTATTATATGAGAACAGTGCCGCATTAAGGTAGTGATGGAGTGTAAAAGTAAACTACGTAATAATATTTTAAACGCTTAAACTCGTGAGGTAATTGCGAATAAAACTGTGGTGTTTCAGAAAGAAGTATCCAAAAAATTATTCAGGAAAACAAAATAGTAAAAAAACACCTAAAACCAATTTGGACGGCTCAGATTACAAATAGAATAAAATATTTCTATATGCGTATACAATGCCAAATATGCAATTTAAAGAAACTGGATATACAGGTGGAATACATTCTCTTCCGGAAGTAGTTAAGTAAATACGTTTTCGTCGGAGGAAAACAAAAAGAAATAAAAAAATTTTAATAGAAAAACATTATGTTCATTCCTTAAGATTGTATTCATAGTAACCATATAGACGATATTTGTTGGAATGATGAATCCAATGAAGAATTATCAAGAACTATACCAAAAGGGCAAATATAATATTTCACGCTGGCTGTGAGACAGGCTTTATTCCTAATGCTAAACTTATTTTTTAAATCCGCTACAATAGGAGAGTCATAATGCGATGATATTTTCTAAGATAGATTATCCTGTTTCGATACCTATAACTGATGCAATGAATATTACTTAGTTAAAAAATAATAGTCATCCAGTGCATGACCCAGTGTATTTCGACTAGGGTATCTTTTCTATCATGACATATATAATGTCAAACCTGGACTCCAACTAAGGAAAATATGAATAAACTAGCCAGACCAGAAAGGGCAATAGAAAAAGCAGTGTTAGGTATACGACTGTCAGATAAAAAGAGGAACGACTGATTAAGATCAAAAACAAAAGTTGAGGATATCACAACAAAAATTGCCAAACTCAACTGGAGCTTCGCAGGCCATACTGCTAGACAAAAAGACCAACGTTGGAAAGCCACAATACAACATTGGAGTCCTTACAAAGGTAGGCGACCAAGAGGAAGATCACAAATAAGATGGGTCTTCTTCTTGTAGTGCCTATCCAAGGACCCCGTTTTCCTTCTACTTTTTCTTGTATAATTAATTGCAGCAACCCATATCTTTCGCTGTTTCTCATGATGTGACCGAAGTATTCGATGTTAGCTGTCTTTATTGTGGTTAAAAAAATGTCCAAAAATTGACGATAGAAGGCTAAGAAAACGAAGAAAAAATAAGAGGTAAATTAGACCCAAATGTTACGTTATAAACATATTTTAAGATAAGTAATTGACAATTTTTAAATTTCTGTATGATATGGCTAAGTCTTGCCCAAATCTAAACTCGCTTCAAAAATGTGAAGGCCGTTTTTCCGAATACTTTATCTCTCTAATTCAGACCCTGGTTTACGTAGATTGACGATTTTCCACTTGTTCCAGTCACAACAATCCGTACAAATCGAATTCTGAATATTAAAGGTTAGCAAAAGAAAGAAATTAAAAAATTACAAAGGGGAAGCGTTCAGGAACACTCTGGTACTTATCAGAATAATACTGCAATACATTATACAGTCAAGTGGTGTGACAACAAAATTGAGTTTTTACTGTCAGATTATTGTGCCTAACTACTATTGTGTACTAACAGATAAAGTGGAAAAATTCGTTTGCACCGAAAGAACTAGGAAAGAAATTGATTGCCCAGATATTGTACAACAATATATCAGGCACATCGGCGATGTGGATCTGCAAGATTCCTTATTGGGGTTGTATCCAACCAAAATGAAGAACCCAAAAATGGTACCGTATTTTCTATCATATGCAGGATGCAGCAGTAGTCAATGCTTGGCTATTAGACAGGCGAATCAAAAAACAAATTGGAATAACTGAGGAGATTATACCACTGCTGAATTTCAAAACAATTCTAGCTGAACACAAGAAAACTTTTTGATGCAAAAAATTTGAAAACAAAATTAATAAAAAACAAAAAAGTTGACCCAGAAGGCAATGATATTAACTGGCCAAAAATTTCTTGCAATCAATACAGAAAAGATGATCCAAATCACATTTTTTTTAAATATGATAAAAGGAAAATGAGCTTATCAAATTTCAAACCATAAGGAGAGGGACACGGCCAAGCACCCAAAAAATTTTGCTTGAACTGGCATATCAAAAGACAGGAGGCATGTTGCATGTAGCCAAAGAAAAATTAAATAACCCGATAGAACTTTGTGACAGTATGATAATACCTACGCAGTAGCACCCATTTTACCGGTCGTTAAAAGCCACAACCAACCACAAGTGAATGTGTTTGTCATGAAGGCCACGACAATTGAATTGCAAAGGGTCTAGGCGGTTAAGACAGTGAAGAATGCTACCAGCGATATTTTAAAAAATAAAAATACCAGGTTGCTCTGTATCAAAAAGTATTTGACCAAAAAAATTTTAGACCGATAGACCCAAACATAATCTCACAAAAAATAAAAAGTGTTTTTTTCGTTATTTGACGATATCTTTGATTTTACACGTAGTACTTTTCGATGTAGAATAACATAGTATTTTTATTTTTTGTCTATGGCGGGGGAATTTTACCATCTTAACCGGCTAGACCAAAAATAATTTTTTGTTGTTTTGACCATGATACTACACCTATAAAAATCTGAAAAAAATCATGGAGATAGTTTCACACTCAACCGATAATATATATTTTTTTTGTAGTGGCGTTCGGGACAGTTTATTTTTAAATTATTTTAATTATTTTAAATTAGAATATTACGTCAAAATTTTTGTCAAAAATACCAGGATGTAGGCAATAAAATATCATACACTACAATTTAAAAAAGAATAAGTTTTTACGATGCTTAAAACCGAAGATAACGTCAAAAAGCAAAAAAACACGTTTTAATTTTTTTGAGGTCATGTTTGGGTCTAGGGGACTTAAAATTTTTTTTGGCTAGTATTTTATATATAAAACAACATGGTATTTTTATTTTTGGAATATTGCGTATCCCCTGTAAAAAGTCTCCAACGTCTAACGGGAGAGTTACCGTTTCATTTAAGAATAATTTATCTTACTCTACCTTATGCTACAACAGTTCTCTCAAATTCAAATAATTCTTCCATACATAACACTGAAACTAATCGTTTCACCAAACTCTGTAGATAAAAGTAAAAAATATTTCCTCTAATCAAAGGATTCGTTAGTAACTAAACAGGTTGTCCATTGAACTACCATTAATCTTATTCCCAGTTAATATTCAGACATTTCCACCTTGGACAATACCTCTTCCATACATTAATCTCAGTCTGTTTTCGATGAAAATGAAACAAACCATATCGATATACTTCTGTCCTTCCTTTCAATAATAACAACTATAATAAGACAGTAGTTATCACTGACTATTTAAACTCCATCCCGGCCATTCAGCAGCTGTATCCAAAAAATCTAATAGATTCCCATATGAAATGTTGATTAGATATTTTACATTAAAATAACACCGACGTCGTAATACTTTCCATCGCATGTAGGTATTCGAGAAAACGAAGAAGTAAATTACTGTGCTAGAGATGCAGCAAACTCAAACTCAAAACTCAACAATAGTGAGTGAAACTGTTGCTGGTGATATTAATACACTGATTAAATCCAAAATCGAGTATTAACAGTGGCAAAGTGAATGGAATATCTCCCCATCGAAATTAAAAGAAATTAAATCATCGATAAAAACCTAGAGGAAGCAAAAATACAAGTTGTGTCAACCAGATTAGAATTAAAAACGCTTATAAAACTGTGCAAAAATTATCCAAGAAAAATCAAACAAAATCTTTCTGACGAACCATTATTAGATGAAAACTGTAATGTAAGTTATATTGTAAATATTTTATTGTAAAATAAATGTAAATCAACATGTTGCTAATAACCTTTAGTAGCTGATGAGACTGAAATTATTATTTATATATTAAATATTAGATCTCATTTTAAAAATGTTAAGTAGTTGGATTGGAAAATATAACTATGGTACATACCTCTTTTCCTAATACTTTGGACATAATTCTAACTTCATCTGAATCGTTTCCTCTCGTTCTCGAAGGTGGCTTAGAATTAGCAAACTTTAGTAAATCTTCACAACTAACGTGGTGACTATGCATTTTTTCTTCTTCTCCCTTTAAACCACCAAAACTTTCATCACCATCTACAACGTCAAGCTCAACAGGTATCTCATCTAAAGCATTTAAATTGGATTCAATTTGTTCTTCAAAGTGCTGAGATTCGGGATTTTTTCCATGAAGTATACCGTTGTTAGTGTACACTGGTTCATTATGAAATGGATTAATATTCACCGCAGGGGGTGGAGATACTGTGTTGACTTTGTCGAGGGTCCTTTGAAGACTGGTAGGAGGTATTATTAGTGGATGTTTTCTTGTATGTCGTGGTTTGGCTGCCAAAAGCGCTTTGTTCTTGTCTCTGGGAGGTAACGGGATGGGGTTTTCATCTTTATGAATTGATTTAGTTAATGCAATGGTTGAATGTAACGGAGATTGTCGAGGTAGGGTGGCATGAGAAAATTCTAAAAAGCAAAAATAATCAATAAATATATTTAAAAGAGAACATGTTTAAAGCTAAGATAACACGTACTTTAGTTCGACGATTTGCTTATTTTTTATTTATTGATAAATACAAAAGTAAAGAAACAGCACAAAACCGAATGACATAAATTCTCATTCTTCAACATTTTGAGTGGTATGTTCACATAGTCACAAAATATGTCGACTCCCTTTACTTCAAACAATTTCGCCCTTTCCATTAGTAACGTGCCGCCATGTGCAAAATAAAATATATCCGGATAATATATTAAAAATATCTCGAACATATTAGAGCGAGAAAGAGTGCGCGAGAGAAAGAGAGAGAGAGAGAGAGAGAGTGAGTGATAGAGGGGGAGAGAGGGAGAGAAATATAGATCTTGGAAGCAGTATGCCGTTCTCAAAGAAATAAACCTACAATTTGATGTTTTTTCGTCTAATAATTGAACCTAAATTAAAATTTTAACTTATCGATACGGCAGTTCTTTCAATCATATTTTATTCTTAAAACAATACGTTTATTATACGTTAATATACGAAACAATACGTTATAATGTATCTCTTATGACTGGTGAGTTCCCTTCTTTCTGGAAGAACTGAGGTGCAAACTAAATGAATTAATATTGAACATTGATAAGTGTTATGTTGTTACTTTTCACAGGAAACAAACAACTAAATTACGAGCATTGATAACACTCGGCTGTCTAGACAGGACTGTGTTAAGGATTTAGGTGTTTGTTTTGATTGTAAATTAGCATTTCGTAAGCATCTAGAGGTCACAGTAAACAGTGGACAATTAGGGTTTATAACTAGAAACACTTTTCAGTTTTCATGTTTTGTTTTACCAATTTTTTTTAATAGTCTCATTCGCTCCAGACTAGAATATGCAATAGTTGTATGGGGACCTTACTATCAAACATCTATAGACAAGCTTGATCGTGTTCAGCATAAATTTGGTAAACACTATCATTACCGTAGTGCTTTTCATGACCTCCCTGTCCCATACAGTTATAGCATGATAGCTGATCACGTAAAAATGGTTTTTATGAATCGGCGAAAAGATTATTTTTGCCTAATATTCCTTTACAAAATCGCTAATAATTTGAATTTTTTTGAACTGAACTTTTAAATCGATTAGGTCTTAACACTCTTTATGAACCTAGGCATACTTCGTTCTTTCATCTACCATTTCATCAATTTAATTATGAATACTTCAAGCCTCTTACTCGTATGGTGAGACTATATAATAGGTATCAAAGTGATCTGGACTTATTTTTCCAGTCCTTAAAACAAGTTAAAAATGTGATAAAGAGACTGCTATTTGCGTGATAATAGCTTGTATTCAAGTTAATTATTAGTTTTTGTTAAACTTTACTAATTATTTTACAATGTTATGCTTACTTTGAAAAATTTTATATATTATAGTTTGTTCCAATGTAAATGATATTTCCGTTAATAAATAAATAAAATTAATTAATAATACTGTATTAATTACATAATAATATATTTAATAAATAATTTTAAGGTAGAATTTAATAAAAAATAATTTAAAGCTTTATGTTAGTTTAGATATAAATTCTTAACGCCATCTGAACAAAGAAATCTGAATTAACTAATTTTTTCGAAAATTGCTTAAAATATAGGTTACTGTAATTGTAAGGTAAGATCAATGACGCATAATATATATTTATTATATGTCACTGGGTTAGATAAACTTACACTTACTATAAAAATAAAATGACGTTTCATAAACGTCAACGCTTTACCAAAATAAAATAAAATGAAAACTAAATAAGAATAAATCAAGTTAAACATAATTATATAGACTTAAATAATTTTTTGAGCATTTTGAGGTGGGGGTAGAATAGTTCGTCTAATTGTGACTTATGATACATAATTGGAAAGGTAAGGCGGTTGCGAATATGTTGAGACAGAAAAAACTCACATGGCGACATTGCTAAGAGGGCATTAGATCACATCTCCTTCGTGTGTGGTCCAATTGGAGCGTGTGATACGTTAAAAGAAAGGGAAGGATATCACGAATATATTAAGAGAAAAAACAAACCAACCGACTACCAATACGGCACTACACAGTGTCTTCATTATTAATAAACGTACAGTTACATACGAGATGTCATATGGCACTATGCATAAAAATACTTTAACTAAAATATAAATTTTGATTTATCAGCTGAAAGAAGACCTCTGGCTAAGTACAAAATAAATAACGAATCTTAACATGCGACACAGCAAACGAAAAAGGATAATATAACAAATATATTCATATAGAAAAAAACAAACAAGGCAATTACCAAAAGGGCACTACACGGTATTTTCATTATTAATGAACGTATAACGACATAAATGGTATCATAGGCACATAGATAAAAATAGATTTACTATAAGACAAATTTTGATTTATTTACTTAAAGAAGGCCTCTGGCTGAATACAAAATAAACAACTGATCGAATCCTAATATGGCAAAAAAACTAAGGTAACTACTAAATGAGCACTACACAGTATCTTCATTATTAATGAATATATAGCGACATAGGAGATATCATAGGTCACAATGGATAAAAATACATTTACCATAAGACAAATTTTGATTTATTGACTTGTAGAAGGTCTCAGGCTGAGAAATAATTAAACAACTGATCGAATCCTAACATGCAACATAGCAAATGAAAGGGGAGGATATAAAGAATATGTTTAGATAGAAAAAACAAACAAAGAGACTACCAAAAGGGCACTACACATCATTTTCGTTATTATTCAACGTATAGCGACATGACACTATGGATGATAATAAACATATTTGCTTTATATATAAAGCATAAGGTAAATATAACATAAATTCAGGCTTTATTGATCTGAAAAGGGCCTGGCCCTTTATACATATATATATATATATATATATATATATATATATATATATATATATATATATATATAAATAAATAAATTTTCAAATAAATAATGTTACTTCGTTTCTGGATAGTCACCTACCTGACAATTTGTTGGACACTTTTGAGGCTTCTCTACATAGAAAATTTAATTACATTTATAATAAATCCATGATTAAACTTAAAAATAAACTTAATAACTTAGACACACCTGATTTCAAGAAAATCCCATTTAATCCTAAGTGGATTAAGAATTTATCTAATATTGAGGTTCCTCCTGACATACTGAAGTTGTTATCTTTGGGTCCTAAATTTGGCCTTCAACCTTCGTTCAAGGACTACTCAATTAGTAGAATCTTAGCAGATGTTGAGAATATTTTGTCTCATGCGGACAATTCCGACCTTCTATCTCTTAGGTCTTCTTCGAACAACATCTTGTTGAATTTCACTAAACGCCCTAGGCAACCCTTATCAGAGTTAGATAAGATTTACAGGGAGACGGTATCGTTTTTAAAAACCCACCCTAACTTCTCGTTCTTACGAGTGACAAAGGTAATGCTACTGTCCTTATGGACAAAGATCAATATTTCAGTTTGAGTAAATCACTGTTAGATGATGATAGATACTATCAACCACTTTCTTCTAATCCTTGTTCTAAATTCACAAATAAAATAAATAAATTTATAACACATTTAAAAAACATTAAGATCATAGATCAACCTTTAGCTAAGTCTTTACATAATATGATGGATATGCTCCAAGATTCTATTGTTTACCAAAAATACATAAACCTACGTTGAGCATGAGACCTATTGTGTCATCTATTAACTCACCTAATATAAAAATAGCTAAATTTCTAACAGACATCTTGTCTAAATCATATAATTACAACAATGATTTCAACATTGTTGATTCTTTCAACTTTAGTGAATTTATTAACAATTTTCAACTACCTCAAGGTTACATTTTAGTAAGTTTTGATGTGGTATCTCTTTTCACTAACTTACCTCTGTCCAGTGTAATTACTTCCTTAAAAAACCATTGGAATTCTATTAAACCTAACTGCCCGGTGTCTTGGGATATATTTGCAGAACTGTTGCAACTTGTGTTTGACACTAATTTTTTAGTCTTTGATGACAAATTTTACCTTCAAACATTTGGTACACCTATGGGTTCCTCAATCTCTCCCATCCTAGTTAACTTTGTATTGGATGATTTGATTTCTGACCGTTTGGGTCTTTTGGATTTTCAAATCCCTTTTATTAAAAGGTATGTGGATGATTTATTATTAGCCCTACCACCTGACAAGGTTCAGGGTACCCTATCCCACTTTAATGAGTTTGATCCTCATTTACAGTTCACTGTTGAACTTGAGGACACTACCACTAATAGTATACCCTTCCTTGACATGCGTGTCATCAGAATGGGAGACAACACCCTAACCACAAGTTGGTATAGAAAATCAATGGCCTCTAATAGGTTCCTTAACTACCATTCCTGTCATCCCATGAAATACAAACTAAACCTTATAAAAGCTTTAAGCTATAGATTAAATAAATTGACACATCCAATTAATCGAAGGGAATCCTTTAAGTTATTGAGAAATATTCTAATAGAGAATTCATATCCTTCCTCTATCATCAATAAATACCTTTATTCGCATAGTTATGCATCCTCAATTTATGACATACCCGATGGTGACCAACTTAGAAACATCTCTAATAATTCTATAAATAGCACTGTTCTGCATAATACCGTTCTTGAGAATACTATCACACATTACTCTTCCTTACCATATTTCCCTCAAGTTACTGAGAAACTTATTAAATTGTATAAACAAAATAATATACCTGTTAAAATTGCTGTTAAGAATGCAAAAACTGTTAGAAATTTGTTCTCTAAAACTAAAACACCCTTGTCCACTTTGGAACAAGTGAACACAATTTATAAAATTCCATGCGCTAATTGCGATTTATGTTACATTGGGCAATCTGGTAGATCATTGAAAGGTCGTCTCACTTCACATCGTAGCGACATTAATTTATCGAAACACACTTGTGCCCTAGCACAACATGCGATAAATACAAAACATGAAGTGGATTTTAATGAAGTTAAGATCCTTGCCACTGAACGCAATCTAGCTAAAAGACAGTTTTTGGAAATGTGTTCAATATTAAAACATCCTAATGCATTGAATAAGAGAACTGACATAAGTAACTTGAGCCAGATATATCATGCTTTAATTTTGCAGAATTAGGCTACTTAATCTTTTCACTACATTAATGTCATATTAGGTGTACTAGTTGAACTTTTTTCCACTTTTCATAAAACAATTTATATACATAAATAGAAATAAAATAAATAAATATATCAATTAAATAACTTAATTTCTTTACTTAATTTTACTATTACATATGCAACCCATATTGCATTTCAATACACTAATTTCTTTAATTAGTGTTTCAAATTATATATAAAATAATACAAATATTGTAATTGATTCATAGAATCCTTTGCAAATCACAGCTCCAAGTATATTGAACCTTGGGCTGTTTGGAAATTATAATATCGTTAACCACCTGGCTATTTAACTAGCCATAATGATTAACGTCATTACATAATTATGAGGTTGAATGAAAATCTCCGGTTTGTAAATTTGGGCTGATTAGTGAGGGGAGTTGTATTTACACTACCAACTTTTTTCACTGTTTTGTCCTTTGCAACCTGGTAGTCATCCAAACTCAATTAAACTTAAATTAACCGCCCAAAATTTGGGTTGGCATTTTCACCTTGTTGATCTGTCAAAAGTAATTTTGACCTCAAGGTTGGCTGTCTTTTTGCGGTTTAGTTCGTTCCTGTTTCATTAAACGCCATTTTCCCGGCGACATTCATAGGGCTTTGATCGGTAACTTCATATTTACTATTTTTTAGAATTTTATTAATATTACTTATAATGCTACCTAAAGTTAAAATCAAAGCTTAATATCCATTAAATAGTTGGAAGTTATTTATGATTTTCTTGGTTCTTGCTCACTTATTAACATTAAATAACATTGAATTTATTTTGGACCACATGGTCAATTGCTGTGCTAATTTTTTACAAGTTCATATATGTTGTTAGTTGCTTAACTGTTTATACAAGATCAGCGTACTATGTCCATTTACTTAGTTTCATTCACATATTTGTTAATAACATAGGTAACAATTAACATCGTTTCCATGATTGTGTGGTTCTCATATTGTAATAATTTTTTAGATGAACTGATGATGCTTTCAAAACTCGAAAGCGAAACGTCTTCAAAATAGATAAAGTAGCCTATCAACTTTGTCTTTTATTTCTCCACCTAGAGACCGATATAAGAATATATATATATATATATATATATATATATATATATATATATATATATATATATATATATATGATTGTATGAATAATATAAAAACTGGGTACCTTACCTTGTCGACCATTAAGATGATCGGGGACAGAATTTCTTGCACTACCACTTATTTTCGGAGGAAGAGTGCTTGCCAGACTACTAGATCTTGTCCTAGTGTTTATTATTGGTTGTCCTGACCTTAAAATCCTCAATGGATTTGTTACCATTAACTAAAATATTTTTAAATCACATTTTTGCTAGTAAGAATTGAAATTACAGAACAATACATTATATCAGTATTCTTTTGAAAATATTCGTAATAATTAGCAAAACTAAAATAATATTGAAAAATTAAAAATACATTGCATGATATGTTTTGTACACACTTATGACAAATGAATGAATTAAAAAGAATAGAACATACTTTGAATATAATATCGTTAATAAATATTAAGTAAATTACAAAAGGGAAGTGGGTGGCTGTATACCATAGTTTAAAAAAAATTATAGTGAAATAAAAAACTTCTGGTGCAAAATGGTGTAAAAAAATTAAAAAAAAAATGAAAATATCCAAACAGATTACAATTTTCATCGAAACGTTTTCGGTCTTATCTGATGATTATTTATCAGTGAAAATATACTTATAAATAACAACTCGAAACAAAGACTACGTCTGAGCCTTGCCGAAAATATTAGCCAACTTTTCTTCTTCTTATCCTATTCCTATCAAAGGTTGGCTATCATCACAGCTATCCGTACCTTATTGGCAGCTGCTCTAAAAAGATCTACTGACCTGCAACTATACCACTCTCTTAGGTTTCTCAATTCTTCGTCTTCCTATGTATCTTTTACCCTTGATTTTACCTTTTAGCCAACTTTTAAAAGGTACCAAATTTTGTTCAATTATTAATTAGGTACTTATATTAATCATTAAGCCGACTCATGGGGTGTCACGGTTCATTGTGGATATCTGTCTCTGATCATTTATGGATGTAAACGATTTGTATTTTATATAAAAATTGTTACTTTATGGAGTGCTGTTATGTATGTAGTTTAATTATAAAGGATTTTTATAATTTCTATCGGCTGAATTCAATCGGCTATCTTAAGTCTTTGAATTCAATTTTATTTAGAAATACTACAATTAATAGACTTAAACGAAACGCCCATTTTTAAAAATTTATAAAAATAAGAAATTAATTTTCTTTCAATTTCCTATGTTCTTTACACCGTTTTATAGAACATGTCTTTAAATTTCTCACACAAATTCCCAAATTTTTTTACCTTTAATTTCTACGCTTTTGAACATTTTGATATTTATATTCCACGACATTTGAGATAAAATGTTGAAAAATAGGGTGTATCTATAACCGACTTAATTATTTCTGTACAGATCGTGACTATACTGTTTTCCGTAAGTTTTATTTACTCTAAATTCTTTCTAAACTCAAAAACAAAGGATTGTCATGGAAAAATTTTGCATTTGCAAACTGTCCAACTGTAATTCGTATTATTTATATTGTTTTTTCTTACTTACATAAATATAAATTATTTAAGTCTTTTAATCTATTCCAAAGAAATAATTTTCTTTCATTTCAATATTTTAATAATAATCGACTATCAAAAATGCCTCCTAATTAGTCTGATGAGATAAATTTAGCCTTATTATTTAGTCACAGAGCATCAAAAATATTGTTTAAACCATCACAGTATTTTCTCATGGATTTACCGACCAAGAGACACCAATATAAAAAAAATAAACAAAATAATAAAAAAATATAAGATAAAAATACGAAGAGTAAAAAGGAACTAAAGTGTAAGCAAAAATTCTTCGAGTACTGTTTATTATAAGATTTGAAAGACATTTTTCAAAAAATGATATTTTTAATAAAAATAATGTTAATTACTGATCCAAAGACCCAGAATATCCAGATTTCATGATTTATTACATGAGGCAAGCGTTCATTTCATTTGCAGTGGTCGTCATTCGAATTACTGGTAATTTTTGGTGGAAATCGCCTGACAGTAGAATCATCGCGTCTTTAAAATATCTGGAGTTATTGCGCGGATATTTTATCATCAGTTTAAGTGTTTCCATTACGCGCCATTGTGTATTCATCCCAGATTATGATTTTATTTGCTATTAAAGCGTTGTCTATTTAAAGATTTTTTGCAATATTGCATGTCGGTTCTTCAGTCGTTTGAAGGTGTAACGGCAATTTCAAGGCTGAATGAAGTCACTTCTACAGCAATTTCACATTTGGCGTGAACTGGAAAAAATAAATGACATGACGAATGTATTTCCAGCTCATTAACTTATCGTACGCTTCCTTCTGTTGGGGGTTTTGGTAGATTCGTTGGAACTAATTGGTTCAATGCATCTCGATTATATTCACTTTTACGTTTCAATTCCACGAAAGCGTCGTTCAATTCACGATTTGACGATGGTATTCCCAACTTGACTTATAAATTGCCGCACATGACATGTCTTCCAAAAGCAAAGCCTGGTTATTCATATCCTTATTCCCCCGAGACTGGGGTTCTTTGAATGTACCCGAATTCGATGTAAAATGTCACCTGATATATCAACTCGTACCTGTTCTACAGTTCACGTGGTTCGATGGAAGGAAGCATATTGAAATAATGATCGCAAAGAATGAGCGTATCTGAATTGGAGTCGCAAAAACAATTGTTTCAGCGTTTGTAATTGTACGAATGATTATGGTTTTCAAATAAATTTAGCTAATGACAAACTCCACGAAATGATCGTTGAAGTGATCGAAGGAAGTCAGCACATGAACATTCTCCAAAAACAACCGCAAGTATAAAGATTTCACACTCCTCGGATGAACTGTATAAATGCGACCCAGAGCATCAGTAGAATCTGCACAGAGCATCAGGCACATCGGCACGATCCACTTCGTTTTGCTTTCTACGATAAAAATTCTTTGATAAAGCGTTCCAAGGGTAATAATGTAGCATCTCGGAGTACAGCAACGTTCGTGAGAGAGAGAGAGAGAGAGGGAGGGAGGGAGGGAGAGAGAGAGAGAGAGAGAGAGGGAGGGAGAGAGAGAGAGAGAAAACAACGTTTTGGCAAATAGAAAAGAAACTGGTTACTATTTCAGCATATTGTGCAACATTCGGTAGCACGAAATAAACCGTCGCGTCGACCGTTTTTCAAATGTACAACATTGGGCTGACGTTCATGAATGGTGAATGGGATTATACTCCAAATCGCCTTATTGTAGCTCACATATTGACCAACTTAATAGGGCATGATTTCATCGTTTAATTGGGAGTTTGAATGACAAAAAACGCTATTGATGGAATTAACCGAATTGCAAAAGTGTCGTTTCAATGCGCCTGGAATGTTTTGGATATGAGTTTTTTTTCGTGGACGTCGTCTGTTATAAACCAGTCGAATTTCAGCCAATTCGCTTATTGTACATCTTCCATTCCTTCATAACAACCAATCCAGGCTTCTCGAACACTGTATCAGCTTATACAGGTCTAGTGGATGAGTACAATATTATATACCGATATGGCAATTTTTTAACTACAGTATACGTTAATCAGTATGTGGAACAAATATAACACTTTATTGTTTGAATACGAGTGATACACAATCCACGCATGTTGGAGTAGCGAGTCTAATTTTTAATCAGTGTTAATCAGCAAAATTTCTGTTACATCATTCCTTCTAAAATATTAGTCGGATACATTAGTGTAACACAATATTTAAATCTACTACAGTTAATTGTAGAATCAAAATTATTATTGAACAACAAAACTTACATGATGTAATCAAGTAACTGTTATTTTTTAAATGATTCTGTCATTACTTAATTAATTAACAAAACAACACCGAATTCAGAAATTGATATGTGACAACAGCGTGAGCTAAATAAATAACGCGCTTCGGTAGACAAACAGATAGTATTGGCGACGTGCAAGTACTTGGAGGGGATACGAGAAACGATCGTGCGCGAGTAGCGGAGAAATTTTGCATTTTTTACTGTACATTTCATAGATTTCATAAATTCATATTGTCAATTGTCATATTTCATATTCGTTTTGTTTATTTACATTTACACCTTCTGTCTCTGAAGAAAATGGGATTTATAGGAAATGCTGTGTTATAAATTGTAAAAATACAACAAAAAATTGTCAATTTAAGTTTTATTCGTTTCCAACTTCGAAGCACAAATCTACTACAAAGAGAACAGTGGATTTATATCATAAAAGCATAAGTAACATAACCTAAATTATGCATTATTCTTGCGCCCGATTTTAAAGTCAGTTTGAAATAGGTAAATAATAAATAAAAGTTCACTTTTAAGTGTAAATTTTAGTTTCATAACACTCACTTAGAGTTCACTTTAACCCAAAAATCAAGTTTAATGTTGTAAAATGTAAATTTTATTTTTTTTAAGTTTACAAGAATGCATCAGGTTAAAGTTTTTCTGAAGATGCATTAAGATATATTCGCTGTCCAAAAGTTTACAGGGAAAGAATTAATTTTTCAAACCAATATGATGATATCATGGGCTTAACCTGCTAATTTATGCATTAGCATTATTTATGGTAATTTATTTTTCTTAATTCTTCCATTATTTTTTGACATTTGCCACTACTAAAGCTTTTCCCTTTGACTCAGTGCTTGGTTGAAAAGTTATTTGGTGATTTACTTTCTCAAATCCAGTTTTTATTATTGAATCCATATTAACAGTAATGCTGTAATTCAATAATATATTTATTTGTATTTACGCTACATCAACGTTTACCTTTTAATAATATACCGACATAACCTCAATCTTACTTTTTCTTCTTATTCTTTTTTGGGGCCACGTCCTTGACAGTTATCCGGTTACCTCGATCTAACATAAAAGCGCAGTAAATTTTGCTGATTTACGACACCAGGTGTCGCTGTTCCGAACTTGCACGGTCCCAATAAATGGTGTGCCCCTCTACGAGTATATGATTTCCCCTCAAAAGAATAGGCAGTGCTTATCTGTACAGCAGGTTTAATGGTCTATCTATTTGATTTTTAGCTGTGGTGGTAAAAGGTTTAAAACAAATAATTAACACGCCAAGTATATATGTAAAATGGTATTATGAGAACCATTCTAATGTAGAAATAATACAATTATTTATTGCGGCTTTTGAAAATCGACCAATTCCGACAGAGAAAACATTATTAAAAACTTTGAAAATTTCGGTTGCATAAATA